AGAGAACATCAAAGCCAAACATAGCCACAGCATGATAGCTGGTGGTTAATTAGATGTATTTCAAGGCATCTGGTATATATCAAAGAAACTGCTGCAAAATTTATCCACATTAAAAAATTGTCTGCTTTCTTCCCATGAACAAGCTTTTTTCAAAGGCTGTCACTGCTGATGCCTGCAGGACAAGTGTCTGAAGAGGACCAATTGCTCATCTATTCCCTCGGCCTGGAAGAGAAAGGCATAATATAATACCTGGCTTGGCATAGCATCTTTTCTTATAGTTGTCTATACAATTATATATATATCAGATCTCCTTTTGTTTTTGCAATTATGCTGTAATAAAAGCAAGTAAAGTTACACTATCCCCACTTTATAGATAAGGAAGTTGCATATGATCATGAATTTTAGAAGAGATCAGCGTGGGGTACCTGGACAAAGTTAGGGCTGCAGATCTGTTACCAAGGCAACATTATCGATGCTCCACCCAGATACCCTTGAATATTTTTTGTGGACCCTCCCTCTGTGTGTCTTTGCTTCTAACTCTCTGAACCTGTAACTCTTAGGAGGTGGATCCTTGAACTAGACCCACTTTGTCCACATGGACAGAGCCAGAAGTGCGTGGAAGTTTCCCCTACCTCTCTAAAGAGCCCTTAGCCAATGACTGATGGGTATGGAATTATGAAAGCCCAGTACTCCTGCTTCCAGTTGGGACAAACTCTGAGTTGTGATTTACACTTTAGAACACTTTTGTGGGGCAGAGGCTGGAACTTTACTGAGATCTCAATCTGTATGGCTTCCTCCTGTCTCCCATCCTGCTCCCCCATCCCTTACCAGGTTCTCTTGGAAGCATTTTCTTAATAAATCACCTGAATATGAATCTTCCTCTCAGGATTGGCTTCTGGGGGCCCAATCCAAGACAATTCTCTTGACTCAACACTAATGAAAACATTTTTTATGTTTTCCATGCGATACAATCTCCCAGATCCCCTTAGTTCCAAACCTTCCCTTTCACGTCTCCAGACCTAAATATCTATGCTTTCTGTGTCTCCTCCTATGCCCTTAACTCTTAACTCTCTATTCTCAAAGCCTCTCTTTCTCCTGGATTATGATGCTCCAACTCTTTCTGGAAAAATGGTTGCAATTTTTCCAGCTATGTGGAAGGCACTGAACGAGACAGCTGTGGGAGATAGAGATGTATTCACAACTGCTGTCTTTCACAAGGGACCAGCAGTCTAGCAGGGAACAGCATACAAACAGCAAAGGCAGAGGAGGTTAGAAGAGCCGTGTGTGTGTGCACAATAAAAACTGTAGGCGCAAACAACTCTCAGAGTGGTCCCCCAAAATAAAACTACTCTGGTAATTCTCTACACCATACAGTTCTGACTCCTTAATTTCTGAAGCAGAAGCTTCTCTCTAATGTTTAAGAAAATGAAAGTCAGCTATGGTAGAGATAATTCAAATGAGTGGATAATCCAATAAAAAGGAGCTTTTATTTAAATCTGCTTTGCATTTTTTTTTATAGTAGCACCACAGGAAGCTGTTTCAGAAAAGTTAAGTAATTTGTTGCAGGAAAACAGCTAATTAATGTAACAGAGCATGAATTCAATCTTAAGTCGGCCTGACCCTTTAAAATCTCAGTTTCTTGTCAGGCACAGTGGTGCACACCTGTAATCCCAGCACTTTGGGAGGCTGAGGTGGGAGGATCACTTGAGGTCAGGAGTTCGTGACCAGCCTGGCCAATGTGGTAAAACCCCGTCTCTACTAAAAAATTCAAAATTAGCCGGGTACAGTGGCACACACCTGTAATTCCAGTTACTCAGGAGATTGAGGCAGGAGAATCGCCTCAACCCGGGAGGTGGAGGTTGCAGTGAGCCAAGATTGTGCCACTGCACTCCAGCCTGGGTGACAGAATGAGACTGTGTCTCAAAAAAAAAAAAAATTAAAAAATAAATAAAACCTCAGTTTCTTTGTCTGTAAAATGAGGCTAATAATTCCTACTTTACAGAATTGCTGTAAGGATTAAACACAAATAATAAACCCAGCATATCGAAAATAGCTGATACAATAAGGACTGTATGGTAGCTGGTTGCCATTATTATCATTCCCAGATATAATATGGTTGAATCAGAGGTATTTTGTATGCACATTTTAAAGGCTCCTAATGTGTATTACAAAACTGCTTTCTAGAAAACAGTTAAGCAAAACCCTAACAACACTGCCAGGAAGATGTGTCTCATCTGCAGACCCGCTCGTGCCTCCCCACTGTTTTCAGGATCAGTCTTAAACACACAGGACCACTGCTACTTCTTTAGAGTCATCTCCTGCTTCTCCTGCCACATTCACTTCCTTCCAAATTATTTCCTGTTCTCTTGGCATCTTCAAATATATATTTCAGCCATCTGCATGCCCTTTCCTTTTGTGCTAAGTCTTACCAATGCTTTATATCTCAGTCCATTCCAGTTGATATAACTGGATGGCCTCTAAACAATAGAAATTTATCTCTCACAGTTACGGAGACTGGAAGTCTGAGATCAGGCGCCAGCATAGTTGGGTTCTGGAGAGGGCCCTCTTCTGAGTTGCAGACTGCAACTTCTCACAGTGTTCTCACAGGGTAAGAAAGATGGAAAGTTTACTACGGCATTTTATCAGGGCACTAATCCCAGTAGGCCCCATTTCCTACTACCACCCACCTGGGAGGTTAAGTTTCAACATAATGAGTTTCGAGGTGACAAAATCATTCAGTCTATAGTGTTCCAACCCTGATTTCCCCAATTCATGTCCTTCTCACATGCAAGATACATTTATTCCATTCCAACAGTCTCAAAAGTCTCAACTCGTTCTAGCATAAACTCAAAGAGAGAAGTCCAAAATATCATGTAAATCTCGTGTAAATTGGATATGGGTGACACTCAAGGTATTATTCATTCGAAGACAGATTCCTCACCAGCTGTGAACCTGTGAAATTGAGTTATGTGCTTCCGAAATACAATGATGGGTCAGGGGCGCGACAGATGTTCCCACCTCTAAAGGGATAGGCTGAGAATGTTCCAAATCTTTCAGTTCTCCACTTTTGACTCACAATTCCATCTTAAGTCATAGTCCCCCCTCACATTTTACTATCAGCATTCGGGAGAAACCAGACCACTCCTGCAAACTTTGCTTAGATATTTCCTCAGCCAAATATCTAATTTCATCACTCGCAGGTTCTACCTTCTCCAGAACGCTAATGTGAGCACAAATTGGCCAAGTTATTCACCACTTTATAACAAGACTGACCTTTCCTCTGGTGTCTAATAACATGTTCCTGATTTTCATCTGAGACCTTATCAGAGTGGCTTTTATCATCCATATTCCTGCCAATGTTCTGTTCAGGATGACTTAGGGCTTCTTCCTTTCTCTACAGCTCTACTCTTCTTCTGAGCCCTCACCAGACCACCTTTAAAAGTCAGTTCATGGCAATGTAGGCTTTTTCTAGCATATACCTCAAAATTCATTCAGCCTCTACCTATTACCTGTTCCACAGCCACATCCACACTTTTAGATATGTATTACAGTATCACCCCACTCTTGGTACCAAACTCAGTATTAGTTAAAATTTAATACACAAGATGCTATCCTGAGGTGGGATAAAAGGCCACCCAAAGGGCTAAATTTTGACATTTTCTCCAAGCCATAGTCTTGTATGAATTACTATGAGTTTGGATAGCATATTATTATCATGAATTTTCGTAACTGGTAGAAAATTAAAGGAAAACAAAGACAACGATGAATCTAGCCTGCAGAGATAACCCCACTTGGTATCTTAGTCCACAGTTCCCAACAACTTCCCCGTCATCCCTCTAGTCTTCATTCCCTCTCCCTTCCCTGTTCTTGTCCTGTCTTAACCCCATCTGTCAAGAGGGTAGCAGGAACACAGTACCCTAGAAAGGTTCTGACCAGGCATCAAAAATAAATTTCAAGTGTTAACTTCAGCACCCTGGCACCTTGGGAAATTGGCCTTTTTTTTTTTTTTTTTTGTAAGTGGGGATAACAGTTTCCTCCCTGCTTATCTGTATTAGGCCATTCTTGCATTGCTATAAAGAAATACCTGAGACTGGATAATTTATGAAGAAAAGAAGTTTAATTGGTATACGGTTCTGCAGGCTATGCAAGCATGGCGCCAACATCTCCTTGGCTACTGGGAGGGCCCAAGGGAGCTCTTACTCATGACAGAAGGTGAAGCAGGAGCTGGCATGTCACATGGCAAAGCAGGAGCAAGAGAGAGAGACAGTTGGGGGCAAAGTGCCATACGCTTTTAAATGACCCGGTATCGTGAGAACTCACTCACTTTGCATAGCGCCAAGCCATGAGGGATGATGCTAAGCCATTCATGAGGATTCACTCCTGTAATCTAATCACCTTCCACCAGACCCACCTCCAAAACTGGGGATTACAATTCAATATGAGATTTGGGCCGTGACATATATCCAAACTATTAAATGTCACTGTCCCATGGCATGTGGCTCAAATGAGAGAGCGGATGTGAAAGTGAAGAGTGAAGCTGTACACTAATGCAAACACACCCTCCTCATTGCCAGGAGTACTTAGACAGCAGGGAAATCAGGACTGGATAGGCTCCACAGTGGGACTGGCTCTGTGAGTGACCAGTGGCTGAAGAGCGGCTCTTTGCAGAGAGAGGCTAGCAAAGACTCCAGACCCTTGTGTCCACATGTAAAAGAGCCCACGTGTAAAGTGACAAACCCCCTCTCCCAGAGGCCTCCCTTAAATGGACTTATGTGATGCCCCAACAAGGTGGAACAGACCCTCTGTCATCTAGTATTTTTTAAACTGTCCTCAAGAAAGCTGATGAAACTCTGTTTCTCAAACCTAAGGGCCCACTGCTGATCCTCATGAATATTAAAAGCAGCCACAATCGTGCCGACAAGGCAGGGCCTGAAGCTGGGGTCTGGGGTGGGGGTGGACTAAGTGCTGTGCAGCCTGTTGCCTTTTGTTTGCTCACTCACCTTGCAGCTCCCGGCTCCTCAGAGCGCCTGCAACTCTTCACTCCTGAAGGGTACTTTGGCCACTGGTGATTTGAATTCCACCTAGGAAACACGCAAGAGATGAATCACACCTTGTTTTCCACTGAGGGCTTCAACCGAAGAGGCTTTATAGCAATTTTGGAAACTCTGGGGGAAACATCCCTCCTGCCACATTGCATTTTCTGGAAGAAAACAGGCCTAGTGCATCCTCTTCAGGTTTTGGAGAGAAGAGAAGATGAAGGAATAGCACTGATAAGTCTGCTTCGTGACCCCGAACCCAGAGACTGTGCCCAGCCTGATGGGAGCAGGCCCTTGTGCATGAGAAGGGGGTAGCCTCAGGGTTAATTGGACACTGCCCCCCACAGAGCTCCAGCTTTCAGCAAGTGCTCTTGAAGTTCTTTCCATCCAATCCACAGATGCTGTCTATACCATAGGAGTTCACCTTTGAAGACAGCGATGTAATGTGTTAAGCATCACTGCCCTCCCTAAGAACAAAATGCAGTAGGATGTACAAGAAAGCCTAGGGGCTGCACAAGGAGGGAAAGCTGAAAGGCGCTGGAGGAGACAGGCTTTGAGACAGGGAGAGGATAGACTTCCTTGCACAGGACAGTTCGGGAGTGCTATAACTGAGCCTGGAGAGCAACTTTGCAGAATGCTGTCGCCACATGCTAAGCAGCAAGGTCTGAGAGTATGCTTGAAATTACTGGAGGGGTTTGGGATTATCTATTGCATAATGTCAAAGCTCAAACCACAGCTAGACCTGGGAGTCCACATGTATATCACCAAGGAATATGGCCTCTGTGTCTCTCATATGCACAATTCATGGGAGGCAAATATTCATCAGGTGTTTCCTAGTCTATATGAGGTAACACAGTGCTTCAGAGGCAAATATTCATCAGGTGTTTCCTAGTCTATATGAGGTAACACAGTGCTTCAGTGTTCATTCATTTGTTCGATGAATATTTACGCTGTGCAGGCACTTTCTTAGATTCCAAAGGCAGCAACGGGCAAATCCAGCAAGGTTTTGTCCTTGTGGAGCTAATATTCCAGTGGGGAGAGACAAACAATAAATACACAGACCAAATAAGCACTTTTAGATAATGAAAAGTTCTGGAGCAAGATACCCCCCTCTCTAAGCCACCTGTTGGCAGCCTTGTCCCCTGCTCCACTGGCATTGCTGCCAGGATGCTGGAAGCAAACAAATGGGTAGACGTCACTCTCTGCTGGTTTCCCAGGCAGCAGCCCTCAGCAAAGCCAGTGCAGTGGGAAAACAGGAGTGGAAAGCCACCCTGCCTTGCCCCACTGCTGACACCTGGGAAACTCGTTTAGAAAAAAAAAAAAATATTTTGACTGTAAATAAGGTGTGACCAGTTATTTCTAGACGGTAACCTGAAGAGATATTTTTATTTTCTTCTGAATTTTCTGATATTTTTGTTATTATAATGCATTACTTTACAATAAAGGGAGACCAATTTTTTTAATGAGAAGATTGGCCCAGGTAAATTAAATTAATAAGAAATGCATTTGGACAAATAGGCAGGGGCCAGATCTTAGGGTGACAAACAACATGTCACTTTATGGTTTACAAAGCAATTTCACAAAAACATCTCCTTCAACCCTTATGAGACTCTCTTGAAGTTACGTAGAAAATGCAGGCAAATGCCTGACCCTCAGGTCACTGACTTCTAGACACCGTGTTTTCCATTATTCCACTGCCCATCTGTAGCAGACCTTACTTCTCTTTACAGCTGAGGCATTCAGAAAGCCGCTGAGCCCCAGATCTGAACTCTCTTCTCCCAATCCTCGAGATCTCCTAGAGAAAGCATGCTAATTAATTCAAGCGTTTATGGATCTAGTGTTTACAGACCCCCTACCAAGTTCTAGGATGCATGGGATATGATGAAGTGGGTCGAGGGAAAGGCTTTAACGAATGAGTGAATATATGATATACATCGTGGTAACTGCAGTAAAAGAAAGTAAAGGGTATTATGTGAATGACTAGCATGAGAGGGAGCTGATTTGGACCGTGGCTCTAGCTCTTCACTCAGTGTCCCAGTAATACTTTGAGTACAACCAAGGTAAGTAAGACGGATATTCTACGACGGAGGCTGACACCAGCCTGAGTTTCAAAGCGCGTGTGTTTTGGATGTCTAGACAGCTTGCAAAAGCCAATGAAAAGTTAATGAAGAACATCGCATGTACGTATAATAATGAAACAACTCCCTTAAACCCAGTCTGGAACAAGGTACGGTTTACCAACAAGACGGGTCACCAGAGATGTCCCAAGTCCACATATGACTGTCGCTGGGAGAGGTCACAGAAGGTCAGGAATGGGAAAGTAAAGGTTCAACCAGACAAAAGTATGTAGCTACCAACAAAGGGGAACTTCAAAAACTTCATAAAAATGGAATTAAAAGATGAAAATTCCAAATATAAACTTGACTTCCTAACGTAAGTTCCATCATATTTGATACACTTTTTTAAGCAGTGACACCAGCATATAGTCCATCCCTAAAGAAAGAAGGGTCCTGGGAACTTAGTCATGTCAACGCAGTCTTTTTTGCCTTATTAATTGAAGAAAAATGAGTGCCCTTTAAAGATTTAAGATTAAGAAATAAAAGTAGTCAGAAGGAGCCAAACCAGGACTGTAAAGTGGATGCCTACTGATTTCCCACCAAAACTCTCTTGAAATTGCCCTTGTTTAAAGAGAAGCAGGAGCAGGGGCATTGTCCTGGTGGAGGACTCTCTGGTGAAGCTCTCCCAGGTTCGTTTGGGTTTTTTTAGGTGTTTTCCCCTAATGCTTTGGCGTTATTATTTCTCATAATGAATGCTTTCATCATCAACAGATGTCATCCTTCTTTGGCTCTTCAGAAAGTCAACAAGCAAAATGCCTTGAGCATCCCGAAAGACCACTCTCAGGCCCTCTGCTCCTGACCAGTTCATTTTGCTTGGATGGGACCACTTCCACCTTTCGGTAGCCATCGCTTTGATGGCAGTTTGTTTTCAGGATCGTACTGGAAAAGCCCTGTTTCATCTCCTGCTACAATTCTTCAAAGAAGTGCTTCAGGGTCTCGATCCCACTTGTTAAAAAGTTCTGTTGAAAGCTCTGCCCTTGTCTGCAGCAGATCTGGGCACAAGGGTTTTGTCACCCATTGAGTGGAAAGCTTGCTCAATTTTAATTTTTCAGTCAAAGTTATACAGGCTAAACCAGTTGAGATGTCTATGGTGTTGGCTATTGTTAGTTCTATTCAACTCTGGTCCTTTTTAGTTAGGGCACAAGGAAGATGAATCTTTTCCTTCGAATTGATGGGAATGGTCTGCTGCCTTGGGCTTCATCTTCAGCAGCATATCATCCCTTCTTAAAATGAGCTGTCCATATTTAAGTGCTGATTTTTGGGGGGCATTGTCCCCATGAACTTCTTGTAAAGCATCAATAATTTCACAATTCTTCTGCCCAGGCTTCTCTATAAATTTGATGTTTATTTTGGCTTCAATTTTAGCAGAATTAGTGTTGCTTTGTTCTTTCAAACTGATGTCTTATCCTTCTTAGTGACTCAGACTAGATCCTGTTCAAATGTTATACCAAGTTTGTATGAGTTTATGTTAGTGCTAAAACAATTTTGAAATTCTTGTATAGTTTTTCCACAATATGCATTTTCCATGAACTTTTGGAAGACCCTTTGTTCAAAGCAGGGCACTTCAGTGTCCAAGTGGATGGCGCAGGCATTCCATACCACAGGACTTTAGATGGGGAGCAGACAGGGGCTGCACTGTCAGGAAAGGCACATGCGGAGAGGGTAGGATTTAAACTGGGCTTAGAGAGTGACTAAGATTCGAATGCTCTTCGAGATAATCCCATTTAGCAAGATCACAAGAAATGCCCAGGAAAGCCACAGCAGAGTCTGTGGGCTTTCTCTCCCAGATGCTTGTGGCTGGCTTCCTGGCCGCTCACCTGTCCTGAGACTTGCTAGTGGGCCTGTACCCCTTCCATCATGTCTGATGGTTTCTAAGAGTCTCTCTAACGATGCTCTAAAGAGCCAGGAGTGCTGCTGGCCACCCAAGCTGAACATGAAGACTGATTTCATCACCGGGCAAGCTGGCAAATGCTGAAAACACCGGGCTAATTAGCTCGTCTGCACAGTGGGCTCTTACTGCAATATATCCATACGCAAAGCTCGAACACTTCCAGGTGCTGGGACCCAGCGGGGACAGAAAATTCAAGTCAGGCTATGTTCTCAGCTGCCATTTGATATTACAGGCACTACCACTGCGATCTGGGCTGGGGTAAGCTCCCTGAACACATCACCGGCTGAATGATAACAGCAGCAATCACCATAAAAGGTTGAGACCAAACGTTTATATGGTGCTTCGGAGTCGACAAAGGCTTTTGTAATTTATGCCTATCAATTATGAGTTAATATCTTATTTGTAATATACCTACATTATTATATGGCTTTCAAAGATTATGCTATCTTGTTTGTAATAAGAACATGCCAGCAGTTATAAATCCTGGTTGACAGCTGTGGAGGGCTGGGCCTAGGGATGCCAGATGTCTCCCATATACCCCTCCATGTGATACTTAGTCATCCACAATGACGCCTCCATCTCCAAAGCATTCCAGCTCGTCGGTGTTGGCTTTGAATGGATGAAGAGAGCCTTAGATGAAGACTCAGGACCCTGTGCTCAGTTCCCATGTGACCCTAGCTGGATTTCATTCTGTCTTAAGAACACTAGGCTTTGGTTTTAGACAGCCCTGCATTCAAGTCCCAGCTCTGCCACTTCCTACCTGTGATCCTCAGGAAGTTATCTATATTCTCTGAGCCAATTTCCTCCTGTGTTAAACGTGGATGCTAATAGCACCTCTCTCATAAAGTTGTTGTGAAGATAAGATACACAGCACATGTGAAGTGCTTACCACAGGGTATGACGCATACTTAGTGCTCTAAGTGCTAGTTATATTATTACTATTATTACTATAGGGAGGATAGTACAGCGTTGTTCCCTCACCTGAACCGCAGACTACGTCAGGACCCAGGGGCGTGGGCATCCTCCCTCTTTCTTAG